AAATTATCTTTCTTTCCCTCTCGCGCTCACAAATCATTATGGGAATATCCATTTACAGTTATTAAAGCCTGAAAAAGCATGTCTGCGATGTTATCATCCTGCGATGATTTGTCGATACTTTTTTTTTTTCCCGCGATATTTTCGACGACGATGTTTTTAAACTGCGAAGTTTTTGAACCGCTTTATTTTCGACGACGATGTTTTGTACCACGATGTTTTAGAACTGCGATGTTTTCTCTTTGCGATGTTTTCTCCCACGATGTTTTGTAGCACGACGTTTTCGCCTTGCGTTGTTTTCTTCGCGACGTCTTCGCCCGCGATGATTTTGCCGCGATGTTTTCGGCGGACACCGAAGTCGAAGGAGTTGGATGTTCATATTAAAAACATGATTATTCGGCTCAGAAATGAGGGTTTAACTTATCGTGCTATAGGAATAAAACTGGACATAAATTTATTTACTGTTAGAAGTGTGACATAAATTTATTTACTGTTAGAAGTGTGACATAAATTTATTTACTGTTAGAAGTGTTGTAGAGAAGTTCAACGTGGCAGGATCGACGAAAAATAAGATTAGAAATGAACACCCTCGCATATTTTCTGCAAGGAAAAACGTGGCATTATCAAAGAGGTTAAGAAAACTCCAAAATAGTGCACCCCAGTTAACCAAGATGTTGCTAGTACTTCGCGTATAACTTTTAGTGTACAGATTATACGGAATGTTTTACGTGAAGGAAGTTTTTATGGAAGGGCAGCTAGGAGGTAAAAACCTCTCATTTCAGAAATAAACAGGAGAAAGAGATTGGATGTTGCAAAATCTCATGTTGATTTATCAGACGAGTCTTGGACTTGAAGGATTAGTCTCCAGGGAAAAAAATAGAGAAGTTAGTAAATTTTTCAGATTTGTTTGGTGATACCCCAGGGTTAATGCATATAATAAGTCATTTGACTGAAGTAGAAAATAGTTCCCTATGAAGAGGTAAACCCTACCGCTACGATAAAGTTAAAAGGGAGATCAATATAAAGGCATATTGTAGATATACTAAACAAGTAGTCCTACGCTAATCCTATATTACTATGCAAGAAAATAGAATCATCTTCCTCACACCGATTTTTAATGTATAACGATTTGCTATCGACTGTTGAAAACTAAACCGTATAACAAAATATCCAGTTTACCCCTTACCAATAACTGAAGAGATAATTAAGACAATTAATTCCACGAAATGTATTACCACGATAGATCTCTCATCTGGTTTCTTTTCAGATATGTGTAAATCCTGATAATATGCAAAAACTGAATTATTACTACATTAAATCAGGGGTTATGTGTTCCTTAGCATGCAATTTGGTCGATATGGGGCTCCGCTACGTTTTAAAGTGCAGTGGACGTAATCTAAAAGCTAGAACTTGCCATATCAACATTCCTATACTTACTTAGACTACGCAATAGTCAAGAGCAGCACAACTTATGAGCACATTGAGAACTTGCACGACGTTTTTACATTCAAAAGGAAATAGGTCTAAATGTGAATGCAGCAAAATCTAAAGCAGAGAAATAACTTAGGTACTTGGAATATAAAATACCAGCGCGGAGCATAAAAACCAAAGGCTCAAAAAATTACAATAATTAAAAATTATCCGCCACATGGTACCGCAAAAAAAATTGGCATCATTTTTGGTCTTGTGCTTCTATTATAGAACATTCCTTAAATATTTTGTTCACATACCAATGCCTTTATTAAATTTCAAAAGGAAAAAGACTAGATTAATTTTGCCGGCGCAAGCGAACATCGCCTTTTGAAAAACTTAAATCAACATTAATTCAAGTCCCGTCTTGAAATTTCCTGAAGAGAAAGGAAGTTACGAATTTCCGCGGATGCATCTGATTTCGCGGAAATTTATTAACTTTTAGCGGTAGAAGCTGTGCTCATATGCAAGATGGACAATTGGTAGCATATTTTAGCAAAATCCAAAGAATTTATACTATTACTGAGCGAGGAAAACTAGCAGTTCGTTTGGCTGTTCAAAAATTAAAAGCTTTTTTTGAGAAGAAACCTGTCACACGGACCACACATATACATGGACCATGCGGCCATAGTACGTCTGCAATCTGGGGAAAATTTGTCACCCAGAATCATGAGACAGGCTCTAAATTACTCCGATAAAGAAAATACTGTGATGAATATTGTGGCAAGCCTCGAAATCCGATATTAGGATGCAAACGATTAACTTTTAGCAGCGAATGACTGAACTGGAGCTCCAGCGCATTGCAACGGAACATCTGGATGATGTAGAAAACAGCAGATATTCTAACACTAAGGCATAATTTCTATGCAAATGTAGTTCCGTCGACCCACGAAGACTGCAACAATGCCTCGTAAACAGCAGAACAGTATTCTTCGAAAACAGTATGAGCAGATTTCACCCTTTAACAAAGGATGCGCAAGTGGGCTAAGGGAAGCAAGGTAGTCAGATAGCAGGATCTTTAGACATCTGGGTCGGAGAGATGCTACCATTTGACGATGTTGGCAGGAATGAATGAACCATGGCCGTACAGAGCTTCGAGATGGGAGCGACCAGCCGAAAGCGACGCGAAAATGAATCTAGAAAGGAAGATTAATTGTCAAATCAGTGCACAGTGACTTACTTACCACCAGCTGAGTTGCTGACCGCCTGTTATATGACTATCAGCATTTGTACTTAGTTGGTGGAGCATTCTATTTTCGCTAGGCCTAGCCAAAAATTTCTATAGAATATTAAAATTTGTAGCGGAATTTATAAAGTTACTTCGGAAGATGGGTATTTGTGACCCGTGGTTATTAAAGGGACCCTGTCAAGGCTTTGACTCTGTTGAATGAATTTTTTTTTAAATTTAGATTTTCGCAGTTTATTGCTAAGTAGTCTATGAGATTTTTAAGTTTGTTTCGCAGTAGCTCACTCTTTTGGAGTTGTTTCAGCCAAACTTGGGCATTTTCAGCTGTATACGGCCGGAAATGTAGGTCTTTGTTGATTTCGCACTCGAACATATAATGATCGATGGTACCTGTTGAGCCGGCTATGAATGAATCTCTGTTGTGCAATCCGAAGCGAAAGAGATAGGCTGCAAAAGGGCCATGCGCCGTCAGGAAATATGTCATTGCGCTGCCTGTAGTGGTTAATTCTCTTGAGGGCACCGGGAAACACCAGTGACTGTTATGGCCATCGATAGGCAACTCAGTGAGGCTGAAGTCACGAAGGCTATTGCGGAAAGTGCCCTCACTGGCTGCACACCGCCAGACACGTTTGCCATGGCGCTGGGCGCAATCGACCTCGGGAACAGAACTGTTTTCAGCGATGAGTACGGCTTCGAATCCGCGAAATCCTTACAGCATGGCGGTACGTCAATGAGATTCTACGCCTCATATAGTACTGCTTTTCCTTTCACAGAGCCCACCAGCGGCCGAGCGGTAAAGTCGCTGAATACTGGTAGTTCGGTGCGAGGCTCGAATCCCGCGAACGGGCTGGCTGCGTGGGCGTTTTCGTGGTTTTCCCCATGTGTAACAACTATACTAACCAGTTTCTCTTAGAAAGTCCTCCCCGAAGGCATCCCTCCCTTAAGGCAGATAGCCCTCGAGTGCTTTGCCGTAATATAATAAAACCAATAAACCAAACCTTTCATGGAACCCTGGTCTTAATGTCAACAGTGCCCGGCCACTCAGGGCACGCCTTTCTCCTGCTTGTATTCGTGCTTCTTCAACTTCCATGGCTGAAGCGATCGTCTCTTCGCCTGTAAATCTCTCTCCAAATAGAGCGCATTTGGGCTCCGATGAGCAGGCGTCTTCGAGCGTCTGCGGATCCCGCCGATTTAACTCACAAACTGGTACGCGTATGGCAAGCAGTTTCACAAGACGACATCTGCGAACTCTATGAGTAGTGGACCAATGCATTATCCATTTTTTATTGCTTTTATATTTCCTGAATAAAACATTCAATTCCTATGATGTTATTAGAGATTTGTATTCAATACATATATAGTATTATATCTGCCGATTGTTACTCCATTCTTGTGACTTCTTCGTGGTATGTCGCTTTTTATGTTATAGATAGCACATCGTTCAATATTTGAAGAGCCGACTGTATCCTTAATAACATATGCTCGTATAGGACATATTTGCTTTGATTAGTCTAGTTCATGGATTCCCAACCTTTCCTTTGCATCGACCCCTTTTATGAGAGCGGCTTTCTTCATCGACCGCCTTATAGATTTTCCCTATACTATGCAGCGTGCAACATAATCATAATGCATATAATTGCACATAAATAGCTTAAAAAGATATTAATTAGCTAATAATATGAAAAAAAAGGTTTATTAAGTTTATATTTTATTATGTTTTATATTATTATTATTTTTTAATTTTACAAACATAAACAAGTTTTCAGAAACAAAATTACAGATTCTAACTGCGCAAATGTTCGATTTTAATAAATGAGATGTCCGTGCTTCTTACATTGACACAATATTTTGAATATTTGGCATAAATATATTTAACTTAATTTTTAAATCCCCTCATTCGAAAATATACAACCTTTTTTTAAATAAATTATTGACATGATGAAAGCCCACTTCCATTAAGTAAAAAGAGGGAAAAGTTAATAATGTTATTAAGGCAACAACTTTGATTTAGAGATATTTTTGTCTCGGATCCCTTTTAAATTCCACAACTTTTTAGTTTACTCAAAAGTTTTTGTAATCAGTGGGATTTTGATTATGCCAGCCAGTTGCCCGAGTGTATTCAGCTGTCGACCCTCAATCGACCCCTTGATCATCATGAACCATTGAAATTTCATCTATCCCCAAGGTATCATTATCGACCCCGTCAGGAACTCAGGCTCTAGATGGCTTCTCACATACGAAGTTATGTTTGTGAAGATGACAATAATCATTCAGTCAATAAACGAATGGTGACGCACACTAAAAGTTTTAAGAAATCATTCTGCAGCATAGCAACTTATAAACTTACCTTACAAAACTTTGATGCATCACTGCATCTCGTCTTCTCCTTGTTGTCATTTTCTTTCGGAAACAAGCATGTATTGTTAAGTTCGAATTTCTGTGATCGAAAATCAACACTACATGTGTAACATTCCACTGAAAAAACAGAAAAGAAAAGATATAACATTATAATGCATCGTTAGCTATTGCAAAAACTACAAGTATGATGTTACTTGGTTTTTAGGGCATATTTCGTTCCGGAACCGTGCTTGATATTCAAAGCATGCGCAAAGTAAATTTACTCATAAGAAATAATGGAAACTGAGAGGATTCATTGCACCATTTAAAAATATTCACATAAAAATTACTAATGTAAAGTATAAAAAGCAATTAACTTGTCTTCATCTTTGAAATGAATAGTGGCTAAATGGAAACATTACTGTCTGTTGTTCTTATTGAAATCTTTTCTTTCTGTGCGGCATTACTAAGTAGCCTATGAAATGATATTCGCTTTTTTTTCCTTCAGAAGATTTCAGCGTAATGTGATATTAAATAGCTGTTAAAATTAATTCATTGTACGCACGACTAAAGCCTCACCTGGCTGCTACTTTTCTAGAAAATTTTGCCCTTTTTCCTACAATTATTCTTTGTCCAATTTGAGGTGCAAGTTCTGCTATTGCTAACGATGCAAATCCATCAGTTCCATCGGTAGTAAGCCCTTGGCCGGGTTCTCCTGCGAGGTCTTAAAAGTGAATGACTCTTGAATGAGCCTTCTCATTAACTCCAACTCGATGTCTCCTCCAAGCAAGCCCACCCCCAATAGTTTCGCTGCGTAAGCAATCAGTACACTGGGAGCCGGCATAAATAAGTAACTTAAAGAAAAAAATATTTTTATTTATTTATAGTTAATGAAACAACTTAGTGGTACCCTTCGAAAATAGACGCCTTATGTCGCCTTTGCTTGCCAATCATACAGTTTTATCAATAAGTAGCGTCTCTCATTCAGGAGCAAATTTATATGTGAGAATGGAATCAGACACCACAGTTTTCCTCCAGTAGAAATGAAAGTTCTCTTAAAACCCTACTTTCATTTTTATCAATGACTTGTGAATGTGGAAGTTATTTTTCCAAACTTTCGGAGACCTCAAAGTATCCAGTAACTGTGCTTTTGCATAAAGCTTTTTAAAATTCGAAATGACCTGCTGAATTATGTGCTGGAGTAATGAAGTGGAGATGAGAGGAAGGAATTTACTTTAATTTGAATTCCTCTAGTAATTCGGCTTGTAGGAAAAGCAATTTATAAGTAGAAAAACTCTGAATAGTAGATTTCTTTCCTAAAGGCATTTCTTCCCTCCGAAGCCGGGCAAATTTTACCATTGAACTTAGATATAATGATTAATTAACTAAGCTGCACCTTGCATTCCTTTAAGTCTGATGGATTCTCGGAATGATAAGCGAATCTTATAAATCCCTATTGTTAGAGGGGACTTTGAAATCCTCTCTAATATTAGGGATTAATAAGAGCCTGACGAATGTTTCATGGGCTGTATTTTTTTTTTTTTTTTTTTTGTTTTGTTAATCCCGTTTATCGCTAGTAAAACATAGTGAAAAACTTGCTGCGGCAGATAACAATCGGAAACTATGAGCTTGGGGAACATAGCAGTGAATGCCTCAACTGCGATAGTGAGGGAACTCGCAGATTCTCCGTGCTTCACAATACTGTGGATAACGTTTCTGCCCTTAAAAGTATCAAACTATCCCCATCTGACATCTTAAAGTCTTCCTCGTTTTCTGTTGAGGTACAAGAGAGTGTTTTCTTAGATATAATTCTCGGTCTCGGTATCATTTACTGGTTGCTTCTTGTTTATATGCATGAGAAGTAACTTTGTAAGGATCCTAAGTTTTACTAACGTTTATTTTATTTTAAATCTTTACTATCACTTCTTATTTTCTACTTCCGGCCAGAATTAAAAGCTTTAACTTATTTATGCAAATTTGTCTTGCTAACGCCAAGTACTTAAGTTGTGGCTTTTTGCCAAGCAAGAGAGAGGAAGGAGTTATTAGAAGCAGGCCGCTTGCCATAGTAGTTTTACTCGGTTGCTGGTTGCCTTCAAGGCCAGAGGTTTAATCCTCTTGATAATTTTAAACGTATCGTAGTGTTAGCAGCTCTCTGTACTACATACGGCTTTTTGTTAATATACGGCCAATCTTGGAGTTAGGCACTTGTTTATTAATCCAAAGTTAGTTTAGTTAGATTTTTAGTTAATATTTTTTTATATTCTTACGTTCAGACCACAAGTGGTTGGTCTCTGTATTCCGAAGTCCGGAAATCATTGTAAAGATAGAAAAATAAAGGGTTTCGTATACCCTTCCTGTGTGTATTGTCTACTTCCCAAATTTATTGAACATAGCTTTAGTAAGCTCCCTGTTCCGAGTCAGGACAGTTTAATGTTTCCAAAGCAAGTAAAGGAGGAACACAGTCCTGATAGTGGCGCCCGACGAAGAAGAATAACCATGGCCGAGTTTCAAGAAGAACCTGTGGCTGCCTGCAGAAGCGGCTCAGAATCCAGAAATGCCAGCTGCCGCCCTGGAAGGATTTGGTTACATCGTCCAGACCATGCGCGCATCGATGAAACCAGAAGCAACATTTAATGGAAACTCACCGGTAACCAGTTTTTTGGGAAAATTGGATGACCACTTCATGCTGTATCCCGTTCATGAGTTCCAGAAAGTCACCTTAGCTACCAGCGCTTTGAGGGGCCAAGCGCTTAATTGGTTCAAATGTATAGGCAGAAGCCTCTTGGGTCAAGCGGGAAGTCCCACCTATACTTACGAAAATTTTAAGACTGCCTTAGTAAAAGCCTTCCCTGTCGTAAGAGGATCGTGCAAATTAGAAACGGAACTCTTCAGCATATACCAGAAACGAATTGAAAATCTCTCAAGCTTTATTTTAAGAAAAATTCACGTCTTTAAACTCTTGTATGGAAACCGTCCGGATCCTGAGATAATCCAAGTGATTTTGCCGAGGTTACTTCCCCAAGTACAAGACTTTATTGAATTAAGGAATCCGACTACACTGGAAAAGTTATTTGAGCTAGCAATCCAGTTTGAAAGTAGAAGAACGGCGGACATTGAAAGAAGACGCCAGTATGAGCAACGAAGCCAATTTGGTGCGCCAAGACCACAGCAAAGTCAAGAACACGGCTACGGAAGCAAAGCGAATCAGTGGGCAAGGAAACCCGAGTATCCAAAAACAACCGGCGAACGTCGACAGTTCAATAGTAAGCCAGAAAAAAAGTCTGAAGGCCAGCGGAAAAAGAAGGAAGGCATGGAAAGGAAGAAACAAAATTTAAACTAAAACGGATTTCTGCTGACGGGAGGGTGCGGAAATCCGAAGGCCAAGAAAACCCCTCTTCCTTCAAGTTAAATACAGTTTCTTGTGAAAAATTTGACTCTTCCAAAGATTGAAGTTTTGGTGAATAACATCCCAGCCACCGCACTCCTGGATACAGGCGCGCAGTGTTCCTGTGTGGCAGAAGATTTTTTTAGGAAGTATTTCCGTAAATACCGCATATATAATTCGGATAATACGACAGTGTTAGCTGCGCGCAGGGAGAAAGATGCAAGTGCATAGGTAAATTACCGTTATACATTCGTATCAAGGACGAGCAAGTAAAGATTATGTTTTTATCGTAAAAAATTTACAAGCACATGTCATTTTAGGGATAGATTTTCTTTCAGAGGCAGAAGCAACGCTGGATTTTAACGAAGCGTCCCTTAAGCTGACGATGAAACCAGTTCGAGAAGAAAAAACAGAACCACCGACGTTAAACCTCGACCACCTGCCTAAGGAAGAGCAACAAAAAATTCGACAAGTGGTAAGTGAATTTGCTTCGTTATTTAGTGATATTCCCGGATTTACTCAAGTTACTAACCATAGTATCGACACCGGAGATTCACTGCCAGTTCGCCACAAACCATATCGATATGATAAGAATAAAGAAAAAATTATAGAGTGGCACATTCGAGATATGTTACGTAAAAAGATCATAACGCCCATCTCAAGTAGTTATGCTATGCTAGCCCGGTTGTGTTATGTAAGAAAAATAATGACTATCCGGTAACACATCCGAAAAGGTGGCGTTTTGCAATTGACTATCGTAAATTAAACTCCATGACTAAATATCCGGTATATCCGTTACCTATTATTGAAGAAATTCTAAGGAACATAACTTCTACCAAATATATGACTACTTTAGACTTAACGACTGGTTATTTTCAAATAGGGGTTAAACCGGAAGATGTGCCTAAGACTGCTTTTATAACCAAGTCTGGCACTTATGCATTTTTGCGTATGCCGTTTGGCCTTTCAGGGGCACCGGCAACATTTCAGCGATGTATGGACATTGTGCTAAGGCCTGTTCTTGGAAAGACCACATTTATCTATTTAGACGATATCATTATTACTAGTGATAATCTGGACCAACATGTACAGGATTTAAGACAGGTGTTTTCATTATTAAATGAGGCCGGTCTAAAAGTTAATGTCGAAAAGTGCAAATTTGCAGCCCCTGAATTAAAATACTTAGGTTACAAAATATCTCAGAAAGGAATCGAGACAGACGAATCAAAAATAATCGCTGTGCAAAAGTATCCGCCGCCAAATACGGCGAAGAAGCTCTCTTCTTTTCTAGGACTTTGTTCATATTATAGGTCCTTTATAAAAGATTTTGCAGCTATTGCTGAACCATTGTTAAAATTAAAAAGGAAAAAGGCAAGATTCTCGTGGACGGCCGAAGCCAATAGTGCTTTCGAAAAATTAAAGCAAGCATTAACGCAAGCCCCTGTTTTGAAATTTCCTGAAAACGATGAGAATTTAGAAATTTCAGCGGATGCTTCGGATTATGCGGTAGGAGCGGTACTTTCGCAAAATCAGCAGCCCGTGGCATTTTTTTTTTAGTCGAACTTTAAATCAAACACAAAGAAATTATTCCGCGACTGAGAGAGAGGCACTTGCAGTTCTGTTAGCAGTGCAAAAGTTCCGAGTCTATTTTGGAAGGGCGCCAATAACAGTGTATTCTGATCATGCGGCGGTAACTAGATTGTACTCAGGGAAAAACTTATCCCCAAGGTTAATAAGATGGGCACTCAAGTTA